AGAGGGCAGAGTAAAATGTCGCGCTCCGTGTAGCACCACAATAAACGCCGGCGATAATAACCCTCGCACACCGGGGCCCTGGCACAATGCAAATGCTCGACAGCCCCCGATGTTTATTTGCGACAATAAATCTCGAGAGCCGGGAGTGATGACTCGGTTGTTTGCGCACCGCGCGGTGAACTCGGCAACCCGAGTTTGATTATTCCCCCACCCGCACCCCCCTCACACCCCTCGCCCGCCCCCCCACGGCTGATACCAGAGATGAGCGATGCCAGAATCGGACCTGAGCCCCCTCCCCCTTCCTTCTCCTTTGCCGGTCTCTGCACACTGACCAGCGTGGTGAAGTATGGTCAATCAAACGCTCACGACCGACATGAGAGTAAAGTTATAAAAGGTTGCGAATTACCGTGGGCGGCGGCGTGCACCCTGCTAATCGTTTTGGATCGGGGGGGAGGGGGGCAATCGTTTGAAGACGGCGACCCATTTCAGAGCCAGCGTCGGTCGCGTACGAATCAAGTTTCCGCGATGAATAATTAAACCAGGGTCAAATGAAACATCGACACGGAGCTCACGACCGACGCGACCTCCACGAGCAGTTGGAAGACGAGCGGGAGGAGTTTTTTGCTCGGGAAGTTTCGATGCAACAATCGCCATTGATTACGCGTCTCTTGCCCCGTACACGCGGCCCCCCGCCCGGGATGGGAAGACTCCGCCACAACGCGAACCGCAGTTTGTGAAGAACCGAGGGGGTGACCCCGCTGGGGCCGGGAGGACGACCGTGTCTCGCACGCACGCCGTCTCTCCGACGCGCGTTCGGGTCGTACCGCGCGCTGTCCGGCACGACGTCCGACGTTTGCGCCTCCACGTGCTGGGAGCTTCTTCAGTTTGGTTCCTGACGACCTCGTAAGTCAGGTTCGAATCCCAGCCTCTTGTGCCGCAGCATTGCAGCCTTGCTCAGTCCCCCAGTGGTGCAGAGGGAACGTCAGCACCTGGAGCGTCAGCACCTGGAGCGATTGCATTTATGATCGAGCTCCCGCGCGATCTGTCAGGGAACCTCGCTCTGTTGCTGCTTTTGAAGTGAGACTGAAAACACACCTTTGCGAGGTGACGCTCGCAATCGCGACATTTAGTCTTTGCCGCTCGCTGCTGCCGCCGCTCTAAGTCGTCGTTGTGCCCTCCGTGTTCCCGCTGCGCGCGCCGTCTCCCTTCAATCCACGATCTTTCCATCGTGCCATTTGCCTGCCGTTTTTGTGTGAAGGCGATCACAGCATGGGCAGCGCTGTACAACGTGAATGTCGATCAATGTCGTCACCGTGTCGGTACGATGTCAACGTTTAACGTTAACCCTCCACCACCACCCAGCTGGCTTCATCGCTGGGTTGTGAAGGGGTTAATAGTTAAACATTGACCTTATAACTACATGGCCTATCCCAAAAGAAACTAATTATAAATGTCAATTGATTGAAGTTGCCAGTTTTTGTCACCTAGCTCCACCAGAGCTTGACTCGGCCTAAAGTGCAACACCTGACATGTGATGTCATTGCGAGCATCTGCACTGTGGGGATGAAGCTGGCCACGGGGGAGACTTTGCGCGGTTTCGCATTGCCCTGCTTGCCCTGACGTGCGCTTTGCCAACCTCTGCGTTCGTCCCTGGCAGCCTCTGCTAGTAAATGGAGGATTTTGTGTTTTGTGCAGCCATGTGTGGTGTGTGTGCTTTGTGGGAGCGGTAGTGGTAGTGGTCCGTGGTTAGCGCGCTGCGCTATGAACCCGGCGACCCGAGTTCAATTATCACTCGCGACTAACATCGGGGGACGACAATTTTGAACAGGTCCTGGGCCTCCCCTAGTTGATTTAGCCTCAAATGAGTGTGTGTAAACATCGCCGCTAGGCCAGGCGTGGTGATGTTCATCCACCTCATCGTGTGCGGTGCCGTTCTTCATAGGTGCTCGCTTAACAGCACTTGCACCAAAAATATGTTAAGAGGCTATATAGGGGGTCTTTATCTCTGTCTTTTTGTTAGTCTGCTCAGATGTGGTGGTTGTTGTACTGGCAAGCGCTAGCATGTGCACTGACGTGTGGAGGTGCGCATGTGGTGTGTGTGTGCGTGTGTGCGCGTGCGTGTGTGCGCGTGTGTGCTCTAGATGCGTGAGTGTGGGGGTTGCCGTGGGCTCACAGAGTGCCGGCAAGGCGGCCGATGCAGTCCACAGAATGACTTGGCCACAACCCGGGGTCGCCCATAATTACAGTTATAGCAGCGTTGATAGCTCCCAATTACAATTACCGTGACACCAGGCCTGGATCTGGTCCATTCGTTACACTGAGTCTGACTTGCGACCGTATCCATCTGCGCAGAGCCATGAGCGTTATCCCCTCGCATGCGTGGCGTCTTTCCTCCGCGGCACTCCGGTTTCCCGTCACGCAGAGACAACCGTTGGGTACCGAAAGAGCCCCAAACATCCCAACGACGCTGCGGTTCCCAGCCAAGAACGAGCCTTCAGACTTGGCGAGGCTTCCCCGTGCGAGGAGTGGGCCCCCCCCGTTGTTCACGAGGCCTCGGCCCGACCGGCCACCGGTGGACGGTGCGAGCGGCCGGTGGTCGCGTCGCCGCTCCTCTGTTGTTTCACGTGCTCCGCCAAGCCGTGACGGCGGCGGCAGCATCCTGTCGAGACTTGCCGCCAGAGCCGACCCCCATTCCCACCGATCCTCTTGGCCTCTTCCCGTGTGACCGCAGACGAGTGCGGGTCGGCGAGCCTCACGCCCGGAGACGCGTGTGCGAGTTTTCTCTGTGACCCCCCTCCCCCCGCGTCTTCCGTGCGTGTCCGTCCGTGCTCGCTACGAGTGGAGCGGTGCGCTGCGGCGATCCGTCGACTGATGGATGCCGATTCGCGATGATCGCCCATGCACGGGTGGCCTTTAGAATCGGCGTGTTTTGTCCATCCGTGCAGATTGGTTATTGCCCGTCGAGGGCAATACGAATTGGATGGCAGAAATGAGGAAAAAGGAGAATTGGTTCCTGACTTGAATCTCAGGCCCTGATTCGAAGCGATTTTGCCAAATCACCCGTAGGTGGGGGTGAGGGGTGGGGGGGAGGGATGGAGAGATAACAGGAGGAATTGTTATATTATTATTTGCTTGTTTACTTAGGAAAGCCTCACCGTCTCTTGTTCAGGAGACTCCTGCCAGGTTTTCACAGTCGGGGGGCGATGCTGCTGTGTGTCACCCTAATTGGAGCAATTTGCGGGTATTTGTTTCAGCATGGGGGGTGGAGTGGGGGGGGGATGTTTGGTCAACACCGTTCGCACCGCTCGCGTTTTTTTCGTGGTGTTTGTCATAACCACGGCACACATGTCTAACCGCCCCTCTGCGTGCGCGTGTCCGTCCATCGCGTGTCCCGTTCCCGTGGGCCCTGCAGCTGAACGGGGCGGTGACCGACACGCTCTCGCGGCCCGTCATCTACGTGCGTGGCGCCGACGCCGTCAAGCTCATGACCATCGTCAACGACGAGAAGGTGGCGCGAGCGCGCATCCAACCCAAGGTCGGAAACGAGGTGAAGGCGCGCGGGTGGCGACGGCGGCAGCGGAGGGGGGAGGAGGGTGGGGGATGCGCCGGGGAAACTGGAGTGCCAGCGTTGTTTTATCGCCGTGAGCTGTTCGACGCGACTTTTCGCCGCGGAGCGGTCCCTGGCGGAAGTTCCCGGCGTGCGGAGAGAGCGAGGCGTGGGCACGGTGTGGGGTAGCGGTGCAGATCGGTGGCCGGGCCTGGCGGACGAGTAGGTAGGCGGGTAATTGGAGGCGTAGGTGGGTAGGTGGTGAGGTAGTGAGGTGGTGTTCAGGCCAAAAGGCCAAAAGGCTTGGTAGGAGTTGGGTGGCTGTATAGTCACCAGTATATGGCAAGATGAACAATTTATATTAATCTGTATCTAATGTTCAGTTCATTAATTGTGCGTGTTATTTTTTTTACCTCATCATTTTGGGGGAGCAGTAGCAGCACTGTGAAACGGTCCTGGGCACCTCCCCTTCATGAACCCGCCCTGACCAGCGTGGTGAAGTATGGTCAAACAGTCCCCACGGCCGACGTGGTGTCAGCGGGGCCTTCGTTTCAGCACGTCGGGCTTGGGGATGTTTGACCATACTTCACCACGCTGGTTAGGGGCGGGTGGGGGTTGGTAAAGGTGAAGTACCAAGACCGCTTGAGATATCACTCGCTAGGGACGTTGGCCATGGACGGGAATCCAACTCGGGTTGCCGGATTCTTGTCTGCAGTGCGGTAACCACTGAGCCACCGCTGCACACCCGTTCAAAATGCTTTGTTGTAATTACTGCATTTGGTCCTCATGTGGGTATATGTACGTACACTTTTATGTGTGTGTGTATCTTAATGAAATAATCCAAGGTGTTAATCATGCGTGGTGATTGATGACCACTGTGTTGATCGCGATTCTTGACAGGTGAATGCTCCAATGTGTAAGACGATTTTGAGTGATCCACACTCATGAAGATGTATTCTCTGGCCCAATCTAACACGCATGTTGCATGAACATGCAACATGTTGTTAAAATCACGGTCGCTGAGCGCAGGGCTCCCGAAAGGCCCAAAAACGGTAAGCGTCTGGCGGCGACAAATGGCGCGATCGAATGCGTGGCGGACCAGAAAGTTCGACACATTTGATTGGCTTGAGCAAGGTTGCCGTGATGAGAGCTTGGGGAAGAGAGACGACGATGGGAGGGGAATTCCACGTTGGAGCGGCACGACGCGCCCCCTGCCCCCCCCTCACTCTCTCTCCGTGCCCCCGCCCCCCCACAGCCGCGTCTGGGCCGCGAGGACGTGGACCTGGGCATCCTTATCGCAGTGCTGGCGTTCATCTGCGCGCTCTGCATCGCGCTGCTGCTGCGCGTGCGTTTCACGCAGCGCCGAGCCCAGGTACCAGCCCCTCCCCCCATCCTCTTTCCCGCTCCGCTAGCTTCCACGGGAACTCACGGCACGCACGCACACACGCACACACGCGCACACACGCACACAAAAACAAAGACGAGCACCTATGAAGGCCGGTACGGGGGTTATACAGCCAGCACCACGCCCAGCCCCCTTTGTCTCCCCAGAGGCACTGTTTACACACCGCACCGGGTATTCATTTGAGGCAGAGTCGACCTAGGAGAGGCCCAGGACAGGTTCATCTAATCGTGGTTCCCTACACACACAATGAGGCAGCCGCTCCCTCCTCTTCCTCTTCCGGTGGCGCCCACGTGGTGGTGCTGGTGGTGGGAGGGAGTTGAGTTGGGGCAGAGCGCCGTGTTGAGCCGGCGCTGTGGCTGCACCGGGGACTTGCGTTTCAGCTGCTCGGTGCAGCGACTTTCCTGGATTGTGATTCTAACTTACAGGACCTGGTGGCGCTTGCCGTTGTTGCAAGCGAATCGCTGCATAGCCAATTGCTTAGTTTGGCTATGAGGATCGGCGTTCAGCTCGCGCGGTGAGCGAGCTGAACGGTCACCACCGGCGCACTGATAAACGCCTGCACACGGCACGGTTCATTGGTGTGGCTGTCAGGTGGTGGAGGGTCTAGACGACACAGATTTGGTCAGATCATTACTGGGCCTTGAAAATGTATTATAATATCATAAACTGTTTTTACATGTTTTAAAAAAATATGATTTTATCTTCACTTGAAAGACGTTATCGAATTGTGGTGATGCTGCATCGCCGTCCTACGTTCCTCCGGCTTCACGCAGCTCCATTCGTTCTGCCATGGCTGCTATCCTCTGTCTCCTACTCCAACTTACCCGAGCCTCCATCAGTTGTGTCTCTTCACTGCATCCACCGGCCACAGCTCGCTATCCAGCACGCTCGCCGTACCTGCGTGGTAGAGCGTTTTGCAGGTTGCCTCTGCGCTAACGCTTCGTCCTTTAACCGAAACTCCCGGAGTGCGGCCAATATCAGATGTCAGTAGCTAAGGCTGGGTGTGGCCTGCATAGTGCGGGTGCCACGGTGGCGAGATGTTAACTACCTCGCCTGGTATACAGAAGGTCGTGGATTCTATCCCGACCCTGACTCCTGCTGTACATTTGGAGGTTTGCGTGTCTGTCTCTCCTCGTGTCACGTGGATTTTTCCCGGGGCCCTCTGGTTTTTTCCTCCACATTTAGAATCAACATCACGCGTTTGGTAGGTCGACGCTCGCTGGCCGAAGCTGTGTTCACCTCGCGCCACGCAGGGACAGCTGCCAGCGGGGGGTCCCCTGCGGCGGCAGTGCACCTCAGGGTGTGCTGCATGGGAGGCACGCTGTAAATTCTGTTCTCGCGTGTGATGGCAATATATTCAGGAGCTCGATGCCAATGTCGAGGCCTGCTGGCCACGACGAGAGGGCTTCCGGAGAGAGTTTGTGTTGTTTTGCTGTTCCTCCTCCTCTATTAAAGGAACACAGACTGCAGTAGTTTACTGTGCGAGTCCATAGTTTGGGCTGCATGGCATCAATCTGTACTACTGCGTCTTTGTCTTTAATTTTGCATTCATGAAGGACATGTGCGCATCGGGCTGCTGCTGATGTTCTGACGAAGTGGTTGATGGTTCCACCAGTTGGCTTCGAGGAATGTCAAAGCCAAATACTTAAGCGGTGTAAACATTAAGCAAAGATGCTGCTGCTGATGATGTTAACAACCGCATGGGTCGTGTCTCCACGCGCAGAGCATCGTGTCACGACGGGGCGCCAGCGTCATCAGCCGCCTCCAGACCCTGCACTATGTCAAGTCGGTGGGGGGGGCCGGGGGATCGGGCGGGGGCCCCAGTGGGGGCCCCGGCGGCGGGCGAGGGGGCGCCCGAGGGGCGACCGGAGGAGCCCCCCTCGACCCCGGCGACCTCTCGGAGGGGGCGAGCAGCACGTCGGACCCGGTGTGCGCCGTGTGCCTCGAGGAGTTCCAGCACGGCCAGGTAAGGAGCGGCCGCCTCTCCAGCACGCGTCGCCTGGTTTCCCGTGATTTGTTTGAATCGACCGTCTTGCATTCGTCTTCGCTGTCCATGTGGATCGCTGCCAACGTGATCCCTGTCGGCGATGGTTCTAGCCGCGCCGGGCCTCGGCAGTGCGTGGCGGTCAGCCACAGGCCCTGTCGTGAAGGTCTGACACAGGCAGCCATTTTGTATGTGTGCAAATTCTGTGCCCACGTGAGCATGAATTTGTGTTTGACTAAATCACCCAGAATGCTCTGAGTGTTGAGACTGGGAGTGCTCCCTCCTCATTGGTCATTCCTGAGATGACGGGAAAAGCTCATCTGTGGCTAATTGTGCAAAACCTCACTGATTGGCCACCTGGAGCGTCTTCAATAATATATAACATTATTAGTAATATCCCCGCTTACAATTAAAACAGAACTTTATGCTGTCGGCTGATCGCCTCGCAAACATGTTGCCAATGGGCAGGGCTCGTTTAGGTGTGCAAACTCTGGACTGGTTTCGGCCTTTCCGGGTCCCGTCAGGAGAGCCGGCGTGTCACCGCTGGTTGCATCGCCAGGCTGCCGCCTCGTGGCAACCTGCGAGCAACCCTCTAGGCAACCCCCTAGCAACCCTCTAGCAACCCCCTAGCAACCCTCTAGCAACCCCCGAGCAACCCGTGAGCAACCCGCACGCTCCACGGCTCCGCGCGACTCAAGCCGAGGCACGTTGAGTGCCATGGTTGTGAGATGTTAACTAACCTCGCTCAGTATGGATTCTATCTCGACCCTGACGCCTGTATATTTGGAGTCTCTCTCCCCATAGCCGCGTGGATTTTTCTCGAGGTTTTACCTTCCACATTTAGAAACATGCGTTTAGAGTATTGACTGCTATACATTTCCACGTGATAAACCACTTCGTCGAGCTATCATTGTGGCCAGGTCGCCTTCTGAAAAATAGCTACATAGCTCAGTGGGCCTTTAACTGGTCAAATAAAAAGTAAAGTTTGGTTTAGGAACTGCGCACGTCCTTCGTGAAATGCTCACCGACCATCCCGTGCTCACGTAATCGGCGTGTGCTGGGCTGTGCAATGCGTGGAGGTGACGAGTCGGTGGTAATGGTGAAACGTTGAAACGCCTAGTTAGGTGGAAGCATGCAGCCCCGTTACACTTTAAAACTTTTCCTTTGAATTCCTCTTGTGCGGATGACGTGTTCCTCGACGCGCAACACGCTGTTGCGATTACCGTCGCTAGCCAGCTGCGTGTGTCCGCGCGCGTGCTTTGTGCGTGCGCGCATGTGCGTGTGTGTTGCGCGCGTGAGCTCGCATACCCGTGTGCGCTCACATTAGTATGCGATCGTTTTAAATCCCCCTACTCTGAGGGGTCTTATCCCCTTCTGAAAAGCCGCCACCGCCATCCCACGGCCATTTTTCTTTTGTCCTTTTTATTTTCTGACCACGCACGTCGTCCCCAACTGTGACCTTTCCTTTCATTCTCCCACTCACGCTCCCCCCCCCTCACCCCCCTCTCTCTCTCTGCTGAGTAGGCCTGACCCCCCTCACGCCTCCATCGCACCTCATCGCCCGTTTCATCCCTTCCACTGCTACTCGACCTCTGCACGATAACGACTGTGAGCCGTAAACAACCGTCTTTGGTCTCTGCGTCTCCTCCGTCTGCTCTAGTTCCTCCGAGTCCCTTGGCCCATGATTCGCCTCGTCTCGCCCCACATTCCGCTGCACTTGCTTCATCGTGCGCGGCCCAGCGGAGACGGGTTCGCTGCTTGTTTGTTCGCGGTTCAAATATGGCAGGCCACCCTGGTTATGACAGCGGGCGTACGAACTGTAAAATGCTTCACTTCGCAGTGGACGTTCCCCCTGATGCCATTTGGCATCACGGACCAAATCTTCCAAATTTGCAAATATTACAACCGCAAATGACCTCCATTGAGATGGCACAGAGCAGCAGCAGCAGGTCATCGCCCCCAGCCGGCAGACTAAATTCCCGCTCGCAGGCCAGGCGCCTGGTCACCCTGTGCCGCACAGAGACGGCTGCCACGGGGGTGCCCTTCATATGTTTGAGATGAGATGCAATTTGCGGATCGTGAGCGAAGCGCCCCAAGACGCCGTCGTGGTAGAGGAGGGGGTGGTGGCTCCATGGCAACGTGTGACGCATTCTCACCGTCGCGACAATAACAACAAACAACGACCCTCCGTTGGTTTTGCGCAGGAGCTGCGGGTGGTACCGTGCTCCCACGAGTTCCACCGCGAGTGCGTGGACCCCTGGCTCGTGCAGCACCACACGTGCCCCCTGTGCATGTTCAACATCACAGGTGCGAACGCACGCACGTGCTCACACCCACGTGCATGCACGCATACACCCAATCGCGCATGCAAACACGAAGATCCTCTGTATAGCCCTAACAGACTGTAGAGGCAAGTGCTGTTAGCAAGCACTATGAAGGCCGGCACGGCACACGAGGGGGTGGGTGGCCAGCAACCACGCCCCACTGCCTTTGTCTCCCCAGTGGCGATGTTTACACACCGTAACAGTTACTCATTTGAGGCTGAGTCCACCTTGGGGTGGCCCAGGACTAGTTCTGATTGCTGTTGGCTCCGAGGAATAATCAAACCGGATTCCAAGTGCGGCAAGCCACCCACTCTGCCACCGCTCCTCCCATGCGCACTCTCCGTCGCACCTGTCCACGCGTTCGCGTGCTCGCGGTCACGCCGCTCCGCTGCTGCTCCTCTGCAGAAGCGCTGCACTCGCCGCCCGCCGGCATCCCCTGCCTCGAGTCGCGGCCCCTGCGGACGTCGGGCGGCCCGCAGCAGCAGCACCACTCGGGCCGCCTCGCCAACCCTGCCGGCCTCGCCAACCCCGGCGGCATCGGCAACGGCGGGGGCGGCGGCGCTCCCGCGTCCTCCTCGTCCGCCGCCGTCGGCGTGCCGCCCCCGTACCCCGGCCGGGCTCGCTGGGTGCCCACGTCGGACCCGCGGGCGCCGCCGCCGCCTCTGTCGACGCAGCAGCAGCGCGGCCGCTACGGCCAGCCGCACCACGCCGTGGCGGCGGCCGGGCGGTTCGCGAGGTCGTCTCAGCGCCATCACCACCACCACCACCCGCTCTACTTCGGCGTGGAGAGGGCCGCCACCGCGGCGGCCGCGGCGGTCGCGGTCGGGACGGCCGGGGCGGCGGGGAGAAGGCGGAGCAGTGGTGGCGCCCGTCGACGGTGCGGGTGGTGGCGGCGGCGTCGAGAGGGAGCGGCCCGAGGAGCGGTTGGAGGCGGCGGAGCGGGGGCCGGGGTTTGCGCCGCCCCGGGCGTACGGAGGCGCGGAGGCGCAGAGATTTTCTCGCCACGCATTCCCGCCGGTGTCAGGTACATGCGGCGTGCCCCCCCCCCCCCCCCCCGTCATTAACGTCGTGCGGTTACACGGACGGACGGACGGATGGCGAACTCACCCATGCCACTTTTTGCCATTGCAGGAGGCGACGTGCACGGCGCCGAGTACTACACGTACTGGGAGGAGACGCACAGACACTGGTACACTTACGGGCAGCGCCGGGGCACGCACACGCTGGTGCAGCACAGCGGCCAAGCGCCCGCCGAAACGCAGGGCGGCGGGGGCGGCGCGCCCCTCCCGGGCCACCAACCGAGCGCTCAGCAGCAGCAAAGCCGCTGGGAACTATCGCACCTGCATTACCACCACCACCTGCACCATCACCACGTGCCGCCGAGGCATCACGGCGGTGGTAGCGGTGGCGGCGGCCTTTCTCACCCCCAGCACCAGCCGCAGCAGCTGCAGCAGCATCAGCCGCAGCAGCATCAGCACTACCGGCACAACAGCAACAGCTCCGGCGAGAGCGGCCGCCGGGGCGACCATAGCTCGTTCAGCGGCTACGCGGCGGACGGCACCGCGAGCGACGATTCGGCGCTCTTCGACTCTGCCAACGATGCCAACAGCCGGCGCGGCGTCTACGGGAGCCAGTCGACGGTGCGCAGCTCGCTCAGCAGCGACTTCGACCCCTACGTTTACCGCGGTGGGGGTGGCGGCAGTGGCGGCGGTAGCGGCAGCACGGGGGAGACGGGTGCCGCCTCCGAGCCGGAACTGGCGGCGCCGCCGACGGCGACGGCGGTGACGGCGGCGGCGGCGGCCGGTACGCCGAAGGCGGCGACCCCGGCGGCCGAGAGGAGCCGGGCCGCCCACCCGGCCCTGTCGTCTTCGTCGTCCTCGTCGTCGCTGCTGCAGTTGCAGGCGTCGCACTGCCGCGGCTTCGGCCGAGATGCACATGGACACGGAGAGCTGCTCC